ACTCTTTCTGAGTCTAAAAAACAAACCAGCACCTCAGCAAAATCAGTAGTTTCTTGGGTCTTGAAACTTTCATGTGTACTTCAAGTTCTCATTACATACCATTACTCCTACAGAACATGCATCATGAGCTGCCACTCCAGACCTTGAAGGTTTAGAATATTGGGAAGTGAACCAAAAAACACAGCTGATCATTTTTATATTTAAGGATAAATTAAAAGGGATCTGCTACCTTGAACCAGGACAATCTGACTGAGCAGGCTGCCAGAAGTGGTTTTCCCACAAGGTTATGAGGCTGTGGAACCCAGAAAGGCTTGGGCAAACAAGCCAAGGCAGACTTGGAATTTGAAAACAACCAAGAAATGTTACACTTTATGGGAAGAAAAATTTGACAGTAAAGCTCACCAACACTGAATTTTAGCCAAATTTCAGTACACCTGTTTCCCAAGTGTACTGTTCCATATCCTTTCCAATCACACAGTGCCATTTGTTACTCAATGGTACTGGCAGCACTTTACAAAAGCAAGAAGTAGGCAACCAGTAGCTTCAGATCTGTTTCAGAGTCATTAGGTAAATATAAGATGATAATCCTCTTTTAAATTAAATCAAACCAGTCGGTTCTGCCACATAAACACAGGCACCAAAATGAATACTGACAGCATATATTAATCTTATTCTTACTAAGAGTAACTAATCTAACAGCTAAACAATCAATTACTAGCTGAAACAACATTGGAGAATGAATTATCAAGTTGCCCAAACAGACTTCTGTAAACTAGTAAAACTCTGAAAACCCCCAATATTCTGTAATACTATTTTGCTGCTCTGGAAACAGAAGTGGCTCCTATGACTACTAAAACAGTTATTTGACCTGTCTATCAGTTACTAACTCATTGCAGCACTCTCAGAGTTGCAGAGACTGCAGCAAGGAGTCTTTAACCAATATAAACCCACCATTTTCTAGAAATGTGGTGACATTTGCTTTTCTTACTAACTTTTGCCCAAATGACTTCAGTTTTATTTTAGGATTTAATTTTAAAAAGAAGCTGAATTACAGTTTTTCTTGCTGCTTACCATCTGGATCTACCTCCCGAGCAATTTTCAGTGCCTCTGAAGTGGCCATGTCTGTGTTAGCAGCCGTGACTGCCAGAATAATGGAGTTTGGGTTGCTGATGAACTGAAGGATTAACTCTCTAATTTGAAGTTCAATGTCCTTTGGCTGATCACCAACTGGCACCTAGAGAAGAAACAATACAGAGATGTTCAACATTGTATATTTATGCCTGTGTGAGACTTGATATCCATATCCAGGAACCACCTGCACAAGTGCAGAGTGGGATGTGTCTGTGTGCATGGGCAGCAAACGAAGTCACCTTGTCATTTTCATGCTACAAAAAATTATTCCATATAAAACCTGAACAAACAGGACCTGAACATAGTGTATCCTCACTTTATACAACTAACACAAAATTCATGTAACTTCTGTAAAAGCAGTGTGGAAAACATTTGCAAACTAGCCAAATATTCCTCTGTCTGCAAGCACAGCTTTGAGACCTGCAGTGCTGCCTCTTCTGTGAAAAATAACATGCAGCCTGCACAAGAGTTGTACGTAGAAAGAGGAAGAACTTAAGCAAATCTACCTCTTACATCAGCAGAAGGCACCAGAAACCCAAATCTTACACCAGAAGATGGTGATATGTCAAATTTATAAAACGACTACTTAACCAGAGGAAAGCTGGTTATCCAACAATGCAGAATAATGCCAAAGAGTCACCACACACTCCTTGTTCAAAAACACACTGCTCACACTGAGTCAGAAGAGAAGCATTCTGCATCTTACCTTAGTCATTCCAGGTAAATCCACCAGAGTCAGATTTACAACATTAGTTGAAAAAATCTTCAGATGAATAGGTTCAGGACTGATCCCCTAGAAACATTAATAGTAGAAAATAATTACTGCACTGCATTATTTAAACACATCTTTTAGAAACCCAAAAGCTATGGTTTCATACTAGAAAAACTTTTTTTTCATCATAAACCTTACAACTACATGGCCAAGGAAAAAAAATCAGCCACATCTGCCAAGCCATTCCTTTGTCTATGGCAGCAGCCCTGTCCCTTCTCCTTCAGTATAATGCATAAAACCTTTTATACACCAGTGATTCTATAGATATGCAAGAATAGAACACTCAGTTTTATAATTACACATAGAGCCATGTATGTGGAGAAATGCAAACAAGTCTAACTCACAGTTTACTTTTTGCACTATCAATACACAAGCTTTAAGTAAAGCAACAATTCTCTTTTATCTGAAGTCATTTATCTAAAATACAATGAAAAAATACCAAGGCAGCAAATAGCATCACTGTGTTCTTTGTTAGAACAGTTCAAGACTTTTCACATCTAAGATGTTTAAGAGAGGTTTAAGCAGCAAGAGAATCTTTAGTAAGACAAAGCTGGACAGTACAACATTTACCTTATTATTTCCTGAAATCCTCTCTGTTTCATTTTCTATTTCCTGACGAATTTCATCAAAATCTGTATAGATCTGAATAAAGAAAAAACTTGCTTCAAAATCAAAGGCAGCATCCAGTTACCTAATTGCAAAATAATGCCCTCTTTCTGCAAGAGGCAGTGACAAACTAAGCATACAGAATATGAGAAAAAAAAGAAGAATTACTATTAGCCCTCAAGCTGATGCTAACAGGAATCATCACTGCTAAAAATTACAGAAATTAGTGTTTAATCTGTTGACTAATACTGTAAGGTGGCAGTTATTAGCACTTAGTACCCATCAGTGTCATCCAGAAGTTATTAACTAGTGTTCACATGAAGTGAATGTCAAACACTTAATTCCATGTTGAACCTAGTTGGAATCCTTTGAAGTTAATAAACAATATGCAGTCTGAACCTCTTCTCAGCTCAAAGACAACAGAGAACACAGAGTTTCATTTTCAAAACTTTCCTCTCTTATCAAAGCTGTTCTGCTTCCCCCAATCCAAAGTAAGTTAGCACAGAGCTATGCTTGCACTGTTCCCTCTACACTCCTCCCCAGCTTTCCTTCAATTGTAGCACTGCCTAGAAGGTGAGGAAATCAATTTAGAGCAATAAACATTGATACAATTCATCAGCAAACAAAAGATTACTTTCTTCAAGCAAAGAACTGAGCTTTGACTCTTACTGAAGTCCCAGGTCATCTCCATTTCTGCTTCTTGCCACTGATACACTTTAGGCTCTAACTTCTTTTCCACAGCTTTCTAACAAACCTCTGCAGTAGCCACATCTTCACTGGACTGAAAAGACTGGTGACTATACATATCCCTTGTCTTTGTGATCTCCATTCTCATTTTGCCAATGCACAAAATAGAATAATCAACACAAAAAGTAACGCAAAAAGGAGTACGATAAATAACTCAGCAGAATCCATCACACACACAACATATGTTTTATGTTTTCAAAAGTTTCAAAATCCTCAACACTCTGCCATATAGCATAGCAGGCAGAATAATCTCCTTTTCAGGAAAGTCAAGAGAAGAGGTAACAGAATTAAGGACATATTCATCAGTGTATTTATGACACTGCTACTCTATCATCACGGTGAACATACCTTATTTTTGGTATGAAGAAATTTGCCCCATTCTTCAGCATCTATCTCTGGAAATGAAGAATTGATACATGAGAAAGAGAAAGTAGATCTTTCAATAACATTTTTCAAAGACTATATGTCGAAAACTACAATGTGATTTTTTTTCAAGCAGCAAAAGAAAAATTAGTTAGCTTTCTATAGTCAGATGTTAAATAGATCAGTACAAATACATTTATGATTCTGCTTATTGAAACACTGCATCTCATGATTTGTAATTTTAATTACACATGGTCCACTTTCCTAACTGTGACTGAGCCAATCAGCTACTCTACAATCTTTCAGAAATGGTCTAGTCCACTAAATATCAGCTTGCAACAGAAAGCAGAATTATTAACAATAGCTTAAAACACCTGAAAAAAAAAAAAAAAAGCTAGCTCTTAGCATCTTTTCTTTTACCATGCAAGTAAGAGCAAACTACAGCTGAAAGAAAAAGTTAGAAAAACCTGTAGGACTAAAACCAAGCAAACAGAAAATACATAAGAATTCTGCATAGCAATGAAGCCTTAGGAGAAGATGTCACTTCCCAAATCTATCAAAGGCCAAACATCTTAACTCTTGTCCATCACCATCGACATCTGGAATTAGCTGGAGGCTAATGGAGCAGTGCCAGAAAGAGCAAAGGAGCTCTTGTCAATTCTTGCCTCCTGGCACAGGCAGCAGTTGGAGTCACACTGTGAGAGACTCACACTTTCCCAACTAGGTTTCCAAGTACTAGCGGTAAGTTCCATCTCCAATTTTTAGTTTGTGGCCATTTCCTCTCTGCTCCCTGACACAGCAATCTGCTCTAGAAGAACAGTCTACAAGAAATGTGGCTATTTGTAAAGAACATCGTTCACCTACAATCAAGTCATCTTTCTAAAACCTTTTTTCACTATGTTGAAAATCAAGGTACTGATCAATAGAGATTTTCTTTTTTAAAGGATTTGGGAATTAAAAGTGCAGGAGGTTCTATGAAGTAGCAACAGCACAGAAAGAAGCACAACCCATCTCATTCTAATGCAATAAGGTCAGAAAACTAAAAATCAACCAGATCACAAGACTAAGCAAAAGAATCAATCAACACAGTAGCTGAAGTGTAAAAGGAAAAGTGTAATCAACAAGAACTTGGCATGAAATGTATGTGCTTAGTGTATATAAGCATGCATTTTATGTGTAGGGAGAAAAAGCAAGTGGATAAAGGCAACCTTTAGAAAGGTGTCTTGGATTTTTCCATGTAGCAGGGTCTGCAGTTAAAGAGAAACAGCATTGAATTGTGTTTAACATTCTTAATCATATTTAATATAGCATTTTGTTAACTTCCAGTACCAGCTTCTATTACAAAGATCACAAATGCATGCAGACAGATGTGCTCTTCTAGTACTGATGAGAACGTGTAACATGTTAGCAATATGCACAGAAGTAAGATCTTCACTAAACACTGAGAAATGATGCATATTAATCAGGCAGTCTAGTCAACAAAGTTTACTTGATGACAACTATTATTGCTGTTCACCTAATTCCAACAGCTCAGTCTTTTTATCTGAGCACAGAAAACAGCACCATTAGGCTCCACAAAGCTGAACTTCATTGGTGAAATGTGTTTCTCTTCACTTATTCATGGCAAGAACCAGAAAGGCTAAGGAAACATTTTAAGGTCACTGGAAGTAATATTACTGTGTGGGAAAGTAACCTGAGGTTTTGCACCAGTATTTCTAATACTCAATTAAACACATCAGTTCTGAGACAGATCTAAAAAGAGAACACAGCTATCACCCTTCTCAACTTCCGATTTTCTCAATGTATTTATGGAAATCCCATTACAGAAAAAAACCTCTTTTTATTGAAGAGCTGATGAATTTACAACTCTATTTTTATGTGATGTCTGTACAGCACCATGGAAGTGCAAGAATCAAAACAAACTGGTGAAGACATTTTTGGTATGTGCCTGTTTGGTACAAATGCAAGTAGCACAGCAACAATCAACTCATCAGTTTGGAAAGCTTAGTACACCTGGAGTTATTTTATTGTCTTGCTCAGAGAAGTGAGTCAAAGGTATATGTATCATCAGTGGAAATATGCTGATTTTGATGGACTGGATCCATCAAGGAAAACTTTTAAAAACCAAACTTTTATCCTTTCTGTTCTGCAGGCACATGAGCTATGAAGAAACCATTGTTAGGAGGAAACTTTGTTTGTCTTGGTTGGTAAATAGGCAAAATTACATACTAGTCTCAAAAAATAAGTGCAAATTGAAACGGTTCATTGATTCCAGGTTATTGAATAGGTTTAGCTTATTTGTGGTTCAGAGGAAATAAAGCAAAATGCACACACAGGAAGAAACTACAGTGTCTTCAGGATTGTATTGCTCATCTCCTCTCAAAAATTGAATCTAAGAGTAGAGAGGCATAAAGCAGGAAGAAAAATATACAGGAAGATCCTATCATCATTACATTTGAAAGATATGGACAAAGAACTCTCCTGTTATGTCCCTCCTTGGATATGATGTCCTTCATGGACACACTGTTTTAGACTTAAATTATTGGGTTTGTGGTGACATAGGAATTTGCAGCTAGGTATAAGGCTTAATTTTATGTATAAATAACTGGGGTTTTTTTCAGTATAATCTATGAAATTCATAAAATAAATATTCTAAAAGACACATTCGAGTCAGAGGCATTTTAACTTGCTAACTTCTATGGAAAAATTTCCCAACAGACCTAATCTAATGCAACGGAGTTTTTAGGAAAGGAGAAAGGATTTGCATTACTCTAAAGGTAAGGATGCTGAATGCAAGGAGGAAGTGTTTTAATTAGCCTAGATTCAACAACCCCATGTTCTGGTTTGCATGTAGAACACTTTTTAATCATTCATTTAACTGGTAAATCACTCTTCCCCCAGTTACAGTAATTCTGAAAGCTTTTTGGGCAAAACCTTCAGGTGATCTAATCGTCTGATTACATTCAAGATTCAATGCTAGATAAAAGTGTGCAGCAATTAGACTGTGGTCATTACAAAATTAAGCATTACAAAGTATAAGATATTATTAAAACAGCAGCAGTTAAGAACAAACACATCCTGCCTTTCAAAAAAACCCCAAGAACACCTGCCAAACAAAGCAACAGTCTGATTGCTTTTCTGGCTTTTCATATCTGGTAAGACCTGAACTCGTTAATTAACACAAAGGAAAACTAGACATATTACAGTATTTTTCTCAGAACAGCTCTCCACCAAATTGTACTTGTTGCATCCTAGACTGCAATACACCTTTTAAGCTCTTACTGACTTCAGTTACTCAAATATCTCTTCTCCCTTCCTAAAGCAGTAGAAATGTACCCAATGCACAGTGGGAGCACAGAGAAGCCACTGAGTCCTAGAAGGTCACCACTACAGAGGATTTCTGTATGCAATGGCAGTGATAACTTCCCAAATGCCAAACTCCTAGCTTTCTAGTTTGTCTTCACAGCTCCCAGACCCAGACAACTACCATCTGAAGTCTTTTCCTCATCCTTTAGTAGCTCTCTTTCTCTAAATTTTAAAAAAAAAAGCTTACTTGTGAAAAAAGCACATGCACACCTTCCAATCCCTCCTGCACACTGTACCATTTTTTTTCCATCCTTGACACTACCTAGATGGCAAGAGTTTTTGTGTGTTTTTCTCTTGTGCTTCTACCAAGCCACGTACAATGAAGCAGACCATATTGTTTGGGAGCTAGCTGGATGAGACTGCTAATTGAAGTAGAGAGCAAAAAGCTGACAACAGTGTTGATTTATCAAGCAACAGAACTGTATTAATTATTCCTATGTTCCATATCACTTCTATCTGTTTAAAATTTGAACAACATTCAGTTTCCTATCTTACAACAAAAAGAAAAGACATTCACGGCTTTACCACTGCTCAGTTCCCTCTTCTTTTCCATTTCCAAACAAATGGATAAACTACCAGAACACATCTTTGCTACAAGACCTATCTAATAATTCACAAGACCAGGCCCAGTTCTCTGATAAGTGCTGCTTCTCTTGCAATTCGATCAGAGAACACCACAGTGTGGTATCACCACATCAAACACAGTGTATGTGCTGAATCATTAGAGGCTAATCATAAACAGCAAAAGCTTAATGAGAACATTTCCTTTATACCAAATCACACACAGAATATATGCATCAGTCTGAAATACCTGGCTAAACCAGATCAGTAATAAAATCATTTAGCCCATGATTTGCCTGAAATTTGGAGAAAGAAGAGGCATTTCAAACTCAACTGGTAAGTCATAAAGGTTTCTTCGTTCTTACCAAACAAGCCAACAACTCTCTCAAAGGAACATCAAGGTGAGATTATAACACATATTGGTTTTTTCCCCAAAAAAAAGCTAAATGAGCATCATAAATAATAATGTAGCCCAACATCCTTTTGCATTTTAAATTTAGAACCCAAATCCCCAGGCTCAAGTCATTCAGATACAACCTACAACAGGAAAGGTCTGCCTTGACTCAGAATACTCTAATGAAAAATGCATCTTTTACACCTGTGAAGTTGCAGAACAGAACAAAATAATATTTTACCCTACAACTCAGAATCAAAACTTTCTGAAAAGTGCTAGAAACTATACACTGCACAAGTAGTGTAAAACCACATTTAAAGAGATCAAATGCACCATTTGTAAAAGGTTGCCCAGAGGCTCTGAATTTTCCACCCTTGAAGGTTTTCAAGACCCAACCGGATAAAGACTGAAGCAACCTGGTCTTGAGTTCAGAACTGGCCCTTGTTTGAGGAGGAGACTAGACTAGAGACCTCTTGAGATCATTTCCAATCTGAATTGTCCTACAATCTCTCACATGGATTGTGTGCTAAAAGTTAGGCTAAATTGTTATGAAACCTAATTGTGTTCTCTGCTTGTGGCAACAACAAAAATTGGAGCTTAAACCTTTTAAACTGCACAGTATTAGTAACCGCTTTGGAAACCAAAGGCTATCAATATTACAGGAATATAAATACTGTAAAGAACTTGCAATATCTTGACTTCCTATTACTAGAATTCAGCACAATTAGAATTACTATTTATAGCCCCAAGTTTATCACACCATCAAAAGCCTGTGCACTCATTACTGCCTACATCAAAAAGCTAAGGTTTGTCTTACAGTCCAAAGGTGGATATGCCCCTGCTGCTTCTTCCTAAGATCAAGAGCATTAGCTAGTTTAGAATGAGCATTGAAACTCCCAAGGGGCAACCAAGACTGTTTTCTTGATTTGCCGCAGGATAATACAGAAACACTACAGAAGACAAGTTTCAAACTAGACACCTTCAGAACACTTAAGAGTGCTGTTCTTGATGTGCTTTGAATCTCTCTGTGTAGCCCAATAAGGCAATATCTGTAAGCTACTGAACATGCCCATCAAATTCTGTTTGAATCTACTACCAAGTTGTTTTCATTTCTCCTTCTTCCTCTCCATTCAGAACTTACCTATTTCCTAACCTCCTTCTAAAAAGTCATATTCATCCTCTCAATCAAGCAAAAGTGAGTGAAGTAAAACACACACAAGAAAATCATGTTCTTTACACTCTAGACAATTATCCTCATTACTGAAATGCTTTCTTTGGCCTAATTTTCTCAAAAGGAAAGAGAAGGACAGGAAAGCTCATAACATTAAAGGTATTTCGAATATCCAAAAGATTTTGACTTCCTGATATTTGCTAAATGGACAGATGTGACAACAGCCGTGATTTCTTCCAAGCAAATTTTAGAAAGCACACTTAGAGTTTTAAGATTACAACAACTAATTTTTCAGTTAAAAGCACAAGAAAGATTAGAAGTCTCTTTCCAACAAGGCAAAACACTCTTGGATCACACTTACCATTTTCATCTCCAGCTGTTTTCCGACCATCCTCTGGGGAAACATGTACCAGCTGCAGAATTAGGGGTCTCCGGGTGACAACTCCAGTACCTCGTGGGAGTAGATCTCTTCCCACAAGACTTTCCAACACAGAACTCTTTCCACTGCTCTGAAAATTAGAACACAGCCACATTATTCAATTAAACATAAAACTGCTGTAATATTTTAGCTTTAGTTCATCCAACCTGCAGACAGTGCTCGGCTATAATGCCTGATAGACACACAGCATCTAACAGCAGTCACAATGCAGAGACAAGTTTGCTGCAAACCAGTGAGTGCCCAAACCTGTTTTAAATACTTACAAGCCATGGGACACTTGAGAGCCATGTACAAAGAGCATCTTCTATCTGAGGTGAAACTCAGCACTTAATAGGCTTCAGAAAAAGTAACATCCTATTTAACATTTTCTACCACAAATATTAATCTCTCCAGAAGCATTTATGGAGGGAAAAAAAAGCTTTTCTTTATAATGCTCAGAAGGAAATTCTACGTCTTGTACTATGTCATTTTCTAACATCTTGCACTAAAACTTCACTCAGTAAACTGAGGAATTTACCCACCTGTTAGTATTTGTTAGCAGTAACATGGGCTTAACTTACAAGAGCATAACACGAGCAGATATTAATTATGTATATTTGAGTACACTAAGCTATTACAACCTTATATTTCTTTCAGTTTGAGTTTGTTTTGGGACTTTTTTTTTTACAATGTATTGTATCAGCCTCCTAAGTGCAGACATTGTTTTACACCCTGAACATGAGAACACACAATTTCATGCCCTCCCACTCACTCTTTCTGTATAGACACACATATATATAATTAACTGCAAACAAATGTGTAAGTAACAACAAACTGTAAGAAGTTGCAAAATACTTAAAGGCTGTGAAACTACAAATATGTTTTGAGAGTCTACATTTAAAATGTTCTCCTGCAGCACTTCTGTATAAAATGCAGAATTGATCCAACAAGCAGCTATGAACACATGGGTTTTAAAAGTGATTCAAGACCAGCACCATGCTAAATCTAACAATAAACAACAGACCCAGCTCTGACAACATAATACTTTGAAAGTCAGGCTGAGAGGGTTTTATCTTTTTAACTGAATTGCATGAAACTCTTCCAATCTTCTGCAGCTGGAAAATCAATATGGGCATGCCATGAGAAAACCTGCTCTGAAGTCATTGATATCAGCTAGGAAACATTTCTATATTAATGATACTAACCAAACAATTCTATTATTAAAAAAAACCCCAAAACCCAGTCAAACAACAAACAAATAAAACTCCCGCTATTCTACCACTTTCTTGTATATGCTTTATGGCACAGAAAAGAGCTGATTTATGAAAAATATAATTTCTCTCAATGGATGAGCAGCAAACCAATGATTCTGTGTTTTCTTGTGGTTAGAATGATCACTCAGTCTGAAAGGTGAGAGGTGAGACATAGATGAAGAGGCTTTTCCTGAACTAATCCAAGTACAGAAGGGACAGCAATAAACAGCTGGAGTCCTTATCAAGAACCTCATCAACTCAAGAAACCAAAATCCATGGCACAAGTTGCTGCACACTACTGCTCAATGATTGGTCTTTGCAAGAGAGTAGTACTGCAGGAAAATAAGATGAGCACACACCAAACTACATACAGAAATAAAACAGTGTCTTGCACCACTTCCACAGTTATGTTTGGATATAGAAGGAATGATCTGGATCCTTCGCAAATGTGAAGTCATACACTAGATGAGACATTACAGTACTCCACACATCAGGAAATTCATTTCAAATCACATTACATTCCCTCATTACAGCCATCTGTTGCTGGAATATGATACAGCACCTAATGCCACACTCCTTAACCTGCACTCCATACACATCCATTACCAGGAACTGCCTGGGACTATGGTGAGGAAAGCAGTAAACATGAATCTGATCTTCTACCACTGGGGTGAAGTGAGGGATATGGGTCTGTTAAGAACACAAGCTCAGTTCAGCCAGTCCTTCACACAACAGGTGTAAACAAACTCATTTCAGCCAGTCCTTCATACAACAGGTGTAGGCAGAGACTAATACTGATGCCCAAAGGCACCACAGAATTTTTAGGCCTAAGTCTGCAGAAGCATCATGCTTGTCTCATCATCCCACTGGAATGCTCATCATGATTTTAAGCATTGACTGAAATCCATACGTTCATTTCATGATGGGTCTAGAAAAGCATTAGCAAATTCTAAACTTACATAGCAGATCAGCCAGATTTTTCCCCTAGACCCTAATATCTGATCCTAATTTGAAATATCTATTAGCTGTGTTATCTAGAGGAATTTTATACAGATTGCTCAGAAAGGGCAAGTACAAGAACATCTTGCTGTCTGTTGCTTCTTTAACCACTGTGCCAAACCTCCAGGACTAAGTGTTTAACACTCTGTTCTCTTACTCATCATCTGTGTCACAGATAAGCACCTGAGTTTGGTGGATGGTAAAAGACTTTTCTCCAGAAGCAGTAAGATGAGGTGATGTGCACAGGACTTAAGTATTTTATTTACATCATATATACTGTCAGAGTGTGTTGAAGTCTTAACAGCTTTCTCACTGCCTCCTTAACACCTGTATGTTCCTGATTGCCAGCATCATCTTCAGGTTAATCTAAACCAATCAACTGGGAAATGATTGTGCACTTACTCTCACAAATTAAAAAGCTGCAATCTGCAAAAAGTGTGATCCGCTCCAAAAATCCAGGGGGCTCTGCTGTTCAACAGTCCTCGTGAACCTCCCCATCCTTCACTTCTTCTTTACTTGTCCTTGCACATTTCAATTTAAGCATCAAGAGGCATTTGCTCCCATCCATTACTCTAATTCCTATGAGAAAATGTGGGTTGCAATCTGCTGTATCACTAACCATATTTTTCAGGAACTCAGAAGCAGCAGACAGCAGTGCATAACTCTATAATTGTCCAGCTTCATTAACAGCAAGAGATGCTGCTTTCAACAACACTTTAGGGCTGACAAGCCAAGTGGAAGAGACTCTGTATTGAAAATTCTCAAGTTACACTACAAGCAACTGCTCACATCCATCCCACTTACTTCACTGGCTTTCTTACTCTATTTCCCTGTCCTCATCAGCATTCCTATTTTAGAAGACTGGAATCCTACACACAACAGCACACAAAGATGCTTTCGCCACATCTAAAGAGAGCTCTGACCCAATCTTCTTCCACTATTGACAGCTACCCTCCACTTTGCACCTCATCTACAGGCACAAAGGCCTAGAACACCTTGATGGTGAAAATGAGGCCCATATTCACTGTCAGTAAATCACCAGTCACAGTCAGCAGCAAGCCTGTATTTCCCTCATTTCACTTTTTTCTTTAACTGCTGATGTACTGCTGGACGCTCTCCTTCTTGCCTCTGATGTTCCTTACCATCCCCTTATGGAGATAATACCATCTCTGCACATGCAGGAAGTAATTTTATATCATTGAGTGAGCTTGTTCTCATTTCTGCCTTCTGCATGAATCTTCTGTGTTGAGGCTCAGTCATGAGTTTCCTTCACACTGCTCTCCTTACGTGTCTACTCATTTTCCCACGCAAGTGTATGGACTATTGTTTTGTGCTCCAATGAGGTTGTCCTTAAAGGTATGTCAGGTCTCTCGAGCTTCACAGCCCAGTAACTGGCAGCATCCCACCAATCAGCTCAGGAAATAAGCCAAGTCTGCTTTTACTCTTTCTTACCAAGCCCATGCAGCAAGAGGGCAATGAACACAAGACTCACATGGAGTCTCACTGATGCACAAGAACTATGAGATTTTTCAATGTCACTTGCTCGGATTGTTGCCTGTTGCATATTTCAAGTATTATTAAAATTATAATGGACTTGTATAAGCTGCAACAAATTTTAAGTCATCTTACAAGAATCCGCTGCCTGGCTTGGTCTGTCTTTAGATTTCATAACCTCTCTGTGAATCCAATGCAAAAGAATCTGTGGAAAAAAAACTTTATATGGAAACATGCCCAATAAACTACTGGGAAACTTCCAACAGGAAAATTAGTTGAAAGGGGTGTAAACTTTGCTCATTGCTTTTGAGAGGACAAACTGATAAATTTTTTGTTATCTCATCAAATAGGAAAAAACTGCAAAGAACTGCTGCAACACAACACAGATTTACTGCAGGAAAGCACAAGAAAATAAAGAGGCAGTGACATCAGAATTCCCTGACCTTTTGAGTGGTTCAAAACCAACAAACATTTGGGAAGGACCAAGAGGAACTGTCAAGTAAGAGAGTTCTCAGTGAGACATCATAATTCCTGAAGAATTCTTTTAAGGAAAGCAATGCATCTGCTTTGACACCCAAGGTGAATGGTGGCAATTTTGCAGTTGCTGTCATACAAGAACTATAAAAGTCCTGCTGGCTAAATCATGCTCTCAGCAATATAGACCTATATGGTTTACTAAACCTTCATGTTATTACTGGGAAATACAAGCTAATGGATTTTTGCTGGGATCTCATCCACAGGAATATTCTCCAGAGAGGTGCTTTGAAAAGAAGTACTCTGCAACAGCTATTCTGGAAGAGTTCAGCATGGTACCACTAAATAGGAACAATATTTTTTTTCTTGTCTTGTTTTGCAAACACTAATTATTCTGAAATAAAAGGTCAGCACACCCCCCAATTCCAGTACAGTTCCACAAGGCCTAATATATTATCTTAAGCCATTGTTTGAAACAAGATTACACTTCTAAACAGATACAGAAGAGTTAACAGGCTGAACCCACCTCGAGAAAGCAGCAGAGCCAACATAATGCACTGCTCATTGTTGCAAAATGCATTTGCTCTATGAAAGATCTTGTCTGGATTACAAGACTGTTATTCCTGCAGGCCATTCCCCACTTAGTCAAATGGAGAGATTTTCTGGGTCAGTTGGGAAGAAACTGAGAGTCACAGGGACTCCACAAAAACAGCTTAGGTCCTAGTAGTAAGGAAATCCAGAATTTGCATGGCTCGGTCCAAATTCTTCAGAAATCCTGTATTTACACCATATCTAACTCCAGACACATGCCAAACAACAGCAAACAGATAAATGATCTGCAGATATATTCCTTCTCAATGCATCAACTCCCCAAAAAAAGATAACTCAGCAAATTAGAAACAAGAGCAGACTAAGTTAGACCATGGAACTGTGGTAACTGAAGATTCACCTTTCAAAGGCAGATGGACTGACCTTACACAGTGTTGCTTATACTACATTATCCATGACTTGCTGTAAAGTGAACCAAAACAATGTCAATCTGTATCTTCGAATTTTAAAAGTTCAAAAGAACAGAGAATTGTGTGTGGGTTTTTTAACAGAAAACCAATCAACCTTCTGGCTACTAACTAGATGAACAAATCTTTTCCAAGAACTACACAGCCTTTTTCTCTCCAGATCCCAGAAAACACTTGCCCAGGCTGTCTGTTTTAATACTCTTCCCTTCATTTTCCTGAAAACATGTTTTCTTTGCACTGTCTCCCCTGGACAACATACAAGATCCACCTGATCTAATTAAAATACAGGTTTTCCAAGAAAAACAATTGCCAAGCACAAGAAGAACACGACTCTGGCAGAAAGCATCAAAACTACTGGTGAAAAACACACTGAAAAGATAAAATCAACGGGGGCAAAGAAACCCAAACAAGAAAAAAACCCCAAACAGAAGCACCAAACCACTTCATTCACAGCCATACAAGATCCACCTGATCTAATTAAAATACAGGTTTTCCAAGAAAAACAATTGCCAAGCACAAGAAGAACACGACTCTGGCAGAAAGCATCAAAACTACTGGTGAAAAACACACTGAAAAGATAAAATCAACGGGGGCAAAGAAACCCAAACAAGAAAAAAACCCCAAACAGAAGCACCAAACCACTTCATTCACAGCGCAACTGTG